CTACGCGAAAACCATACCTGGTCGCGGTTGGCGAGTCCGTCTGAAGGTCCCATTTCTGGGCATCTTGGAAGCCTCGACAGACCCATCTGGCCTTAAACTTCTTAAAATTACCATCTTTGTCAATCTTGATGGTCAGGACCCATCGACCGGTAACATAGTTATCGATCTTGTGCTTTCTTCGGTCACGATACTTCATCGCAGTAAAGTCTAAAAAGCTGCGAAACTCCTCTAGTTTGGCTTGCTTGATCTCTTTGGCATACTTCCGGAGCACTTCCGGAGTAATCACACTCTCTGCCTTCGGCGTCTTCTTAACTGCTGTCTTCGCAAGATACTGGCAGAATTGTGAGAAGCCTTTCGGATCATACGAGTTAAAACTCGGAGGAGCTTGGTTCGGACCTATAACACAAAAATCCATATCGTCAAAACTAACAAAAAGATTTTTCTCATCGTCCAGATCCTTGTCTGGATCCTTCTCAAAACCTTTCACATCTTCTTCATCAAAAATAGGTTCTGAATCTGTCTCATTTGAATCAGTCGTCTGATTATCATCATCTTCGACTGTGCTCGAAGGCACGGGAATGTCGGCCGCTTGTGGCTGATTCGAACTTGATGCTGTCGGATTCCCCGAATGTCCAGGAAAGAAACTTGTTGGAACAGACTTCGGAGGTGCCGGAATAGGTTCATCATGTCCCGGCAACTGAACCTTAGAACGTTTAACCTGAAACTTCACCTTGGCTTTTGGCAAAACATCCGTTGAGTCCACAGAAAGCTTCCGCATGTGCTTGCTGTGACGTTCACGATTCTCTGGAACATATGGTTCTGGCTCTGGAGGGTTCGAATCAGGCGACGGAACGAACGGATGAACAGGATCCGTATCGATCGGAAAACCTATCGGAGGTTGACCCGGATCATCTGGCGGACGGGATTCACTCGAAATCTCCGGCATTGCCTCTTCCGGATCGCTCGATGGATATCCGAGTTGCTCCAAAGGAACATCGGGATTTCCGAACTGATTCGGAACAGCTACGGGACCTGTCGGAGGTGGTCCCGGAGGTTGTCCACCCTGATGATCATCAGGGTTGCCACCCGGTCCATCACCAGGCGGATTCATATCTTCATTGTCTGGATCAAAATACTGCTGTTCCCCCGAGACTGGATTTGGCTCATAAGCCATATCATCATCCATCGGTGGTCCATAGTCTGGAGGTTGATCCCTTGGATCCTCTAGAGCTACTTCATCAGGAGTCACAACTCGCTTCACGGCGCCTGTCGTCTCTGCCTCGAAAACTGTCATACTCCAATGATCTACCAAAAACTGTTCATGATGAGGAGACAGTTGTGACACAAACATAAAGAAAACCTGATGGTATTTTCCTGGCTTCCACATAATCAACACTGCATCATCTTCAGAATTGAAGAGAGGATGCACTCTACCAAAAGTACCACGATAAACCTTACATCTCTCAAAATACATCTGTGGCAAGGTTCTTCGTCTAATCTCCTTCAGGCCTGGAATCAATGACACAATTCGAGAATCAGAGGATGTTGTCACATCAAACTCTGATCTCTGAGGTAGTGCATCGACCTGCCTCAAAGTTCTGATCAATTCAGTTGTAGTAAACCTTTGTGGTAGTATGTGTCGAAGTGAAACCGGAATTTCCGTCGTCTCTTCCGTTCTTACGGAATTCAATAAAATTGACTGATGAGCTTCTCTTTCTAACAAAAGAGCTGTTCCACACAAACTTCCAGAGTCAAAATTCTCCAGAAGATCTTCAATAAGGAAACTCTGACGTTTATCGGAAGTCTCACTATTAGGAAGGAAACGATTCATCTCAACCAAAAATGAGGATGGAAACTTCTTCCAGTCAGCATCCTTAAAGTGCTGGTTGCTTCTGGTGGCTTGCACTGTTTTAGCTTGGAAGGAACAGTCACCAATACCTTTCCATCCTTGGCAGGATGCATAGGAGTGGAAGACTGTCACGTAACTCATTCCCTTCGGACAATAGCAGAAGCAATTCATATCCACATCAAAGTTAAAAACCGGATTCTTCAAAGAAGAAATGAACTTCTGCAAAAACAGACAAAACTTGTTTCCTTTGGGAACAGTCACAAACACATGTTTCTTCCTTCTCAACTGCCACTCAATCACATTGCAACATAGCAACCAAATAGAAGCTCTGTTTTGTTTGGGAGAAGGGTTGTTGATCACTACACAGTGGGGCTGCAACCTCTCAAGTTGCTGCCAAATACCATCTTGACCCTTCAGAGTGGAAAAGTTGTATCCTGCCTTGAAGTCCATAGGAGATGCAACTCTAACACCATTCTTTGAAAGGAACCAAGATAATCCACTGTTTCCATGAAGTAACTCAACAACATCAGGATGATCATCATTACAGAAGAAAAAGGACTGTTCTCCAAATTCGGCATCAACATACAGTTCGTGATCTTCCCGTAAGTTCTCCGGATTCTCATCGTCTAATGCCGGTATGGAAACATCATGCCACTCATCGTGATCTCGTCTAACCTTTGACTGATTCACACGTACCACTGCCTTACCAGTGTTGGCTTGGACCATAGCTCCTTCTTGTCCAAGTACTGTGGCACGAACCCAACGTCCTTTATCCTTGAACTTTGATGAATCCTGAGTCCAAATAAAAACCTTCTCACCTTGGAAATAGGGACCGTCACTTGGCATAGTCCTTCTTGCAAGATCTGCTCGAAGGTCCTGAGCTTGTCGTGCTTCTTGATGAGCTCTCAAAGCTACACGTTGTAGTTCCAGATTTGTACGATCTTGTGCGGCTACACTTGCTGACAATTGCTCAGGGCTTGCGGTCTCAAGGTCAAAAAGATCTGGTGGACGTCTTCCAGTTGCTATCTCTATTGGGGAATATCCACTGATAGTCAACTGACAATTTCTTGCCCAAACTACCTTCTTGACCACTTCTCTGACCGTTACATCACGAAAACGTGGGTCATCCAGATCTACTTTCATAACATGCCACATACGTTTGAACAAACGTACAGCTGTCTCTGCTCTGTTCGGCCAAGGAGTTCTTGGCCCACAAGGACATTGTTGTATACCATGAAACCTGTAGTATTCAACAAAAGCATCTGTGAAAAAGGCTTCGTCTCCTACCATGGCCTTCGGAACACAATTGTTCTCATCAGACCACTGCCTCAATGCTTGGATGGTGGTTTGATCTATGAGGTCTTTCTGTGCCGTAGCCCAGAGAAGATTTGTGGCACCATCAAGAACAAGTAGAATGATATACTTGTTCTTGTGAAGTTCAACCTCACAATGATCAGCAAAAACAACATCACCAAAACATGAAGCTCTAATACCGGAGACTCTGGCTCGTGGCGGAGGTGCCACTGAAGTGTTACAAACACGGCAGTTCCTGACAACTGATTCATACTTCTCTAAAACAGAGTCAGGAAGCTTCAACATAGAAACACGTCTACGAAACTGAGTAGGACTCATATGGTAGTGCTTCACATGAAGCTTATAAAGCTCTACCTTGTCCTCCAGTCTCTGCAACATCTTCCTATATGCCGGTGTCATTGCAACAACTTCACTACCAGGTAATGGGATTGAAATCCGCCTAAGCTCAAGAGCGCCATCACCTGGTTCAAGTGGTTCATGTTTATCACTTGATGGTCCTTTTGATGCTTTAGGAATTTCTACAAGTTCACCTTCTGGCCTCTCAGGTGGTTCTGAAGGAGTATAACCCTCAGGATCATCACCTTTTAAATCCTGTGGAGGCTCAGATGGTTTCGACTTGTGTCCTTTCCAAAATGGATCAAAACCCTTGGAAGTATACCGAAACTTTGGCGGCACGGGCTTTTCCGCGGCACTGGATGGTACACCTTCCTTCTCTGAAGAGAAGCCTGGTTCCCTGTCCTTTGCAATGGGAACCTTCTCTGAGGAGGAGCGCACCACTGCATCGGGATCACCAATGCCACG